CAAATGTTTCAAAGGATGGAGTGCACTTCTCTGATGTGGGGCAGATATTTTCTTGGAGGACCTCAAATGGTGGGTGGAGTGTGAGGGCGTGTGCCTCTCTTTCTCATGCAGCTTGGTGCTCCCCTTATCTGCTCTCTCCTACCTCTGGTGTGGAAGAGGGGAGTAGATTGGGACAGTGGCTTCTAGTCAGGGTCCATTGGCAAGCGTGAGGGCACAGAGTTAGAGTACACTGGGTCCACTGGTGTCAGTTGAGAGCCACACTGGAACAACCCCATTGGGTAGTGTGAGGTAGTTATCCCAGCTACGCAATACTTGTATATAAAATCGTAGGCTCCGTATTTAACAATATTGTGGTGTCTGAATCTCATTGTTTCTGTATAACATGACATAGAGGGAGGTGGAAGCTCCTGCATTGTTTTAGCAAAAACGCAAAATGAGCAAGGCCTTGTCTTTACTGGGGAAATAAAAAGGTGTGTCCTTAACATGAGTTAGCTAACATGAGGTAAAATCTTAATGAAGGCAAGGGAGTTTGTGGTTACACATGGGCAGGTTGAGTTAAAACTTAGCCCACCCCCATAGGCTTTAAAATGTAAATCTGCAGGATGTGTAAAATGGCATAAGAGTAGGGCTGGTTGAGAAACAGAGTTTCCCTCCTATGAAAAAATTTCATTAAAAAAAAATAATCATCCTGAATCAGGAGCCAGCTGCCTGAGCAGATAGGCGGTGTGGGAAGGGAGCCAGCTGCCCAAGGGGTTTGGGAGCTAACTTTCTGGTCAGCTGGTCAGCCTGGGAATCCAGCCAGTGCAGGGAGCTGACCACTCAACTCCCCATGTGGGGGTTAGGTGGGTTGCCAGGGTGCTTGGAAGCCAAGGGAGCCCCAGCTCCCAATCTCCCTGCCAGGTAGCGCAGAAAGCCCAAGGAGCCCTGTCTCCCAAGCTTCCTACCAAGCAGGCTGCCAAGGAGCTGTAGAGCTTGGGGAGGGAGATGGGTGGGGAAGCTGGCAGGAAATGAATCAGGCAGGCTGGCCAGCTTGCTACCTGCTCACCTGCTGGGTTTCTGTCAAAAGTTTTGATGGAATCAACATGTTCTCACTGAATGTTTTGATTCTACTGAATCCTCATTTTCTGACAGAAATGTGTTCTGCTGGAAAAAATTTGACCAGCTCTGTATAAAAGTTCTTCCTTACCTCATTGGGGTGTTGAAAGTCTAAATACATTTAAGGTTATGAGGAGCTCAGATACTATAGTAATAGGGATCATATAGGTACCTTATATAGATGAGTAGGGTTGGCAAGAGGGCATATGTAGTGTAGTCAGTAAGCAGTTCCATTCCATGACTGCTTAGGCCAGGCTAAACCTAGGTGTTAAGTGTTGCACAAAGGAAGCCATTTTCAGTGTACAAAAACAAATGTTTATTGGTACTACATAGAGCCTAGGAACTCTGAAACACATGCCTGAGTGCCATATCCTGGCATATTACCTCTTAACTATTTACATATGTACAGATATAGATCACTCCGGTAACAATACAGTCCTTGTGTGGAGCAGGGACTTCTTGTCTGTGTTGCAAGAGGACACAGAGTGGGTGACAAGCAGCCCAAATAGCATTTCCCCCAGAGTGGAGTGTCTCTATCCCTTTATCTCGCATAGCCGTGGGCATGTAGGAGGGAGATATAGGCAGTTCTAGTAGCAGTGTTGCCCGCCCTAAAGGGCTCGAGGG